GGCGAGAAGTCCAGGGTGGAGAACAGGTGAGCATCGGGTGTCCAAGGAGCCCCTTGCTCCCTCTGTCCAGCATGGGGTGACAGGGCTTCTCTCCGCCCTCTGCCGGGCTGTGGCTCCCGAGCGGAGGCCGCAGGTTTTCGGCAAGTTCACTGTCCGAGCAGTGGAGCAGTGAGGAGGAGGTCTCCCGCAGGTGAGGAGGAGGTCAGACAGCACAGCACCCGTGAATCATGAGACTCTGGCCTAGATGCTCCGGAAGGCTCAAGTTTGAAAACAAAGTGACACAAAATAAGCTGTGTTCGGGGATTAAATTTCATCTGGCAAGAGACTCCGATGGTTTGTCTTCGGGTAATGGGAGGACTTAGATGGCTAAAGAAGGACGCATCCTCTTCCCACCTTTTCGACACCGGCCAGACTCCCACCGTGAGCCTTCCTGTCCCTCCTCTGCCCCGGTCATCCTGGACAGCATGTCAGGCTGGCGTGGGGACCCCGAGAGGCCAGGGGCCAGGCCTTGACACCTGAGACGTCAGAGCCAGAGGTGGGCTCGTCCATCAGATTTTTACAGCAGGGGTCCCTATTCTTTCAAGTTTATTTTTCTGAGCATGAAAACTCACGACTTTCACACCGAGACCCTGTAGAGCTGCTTCGGACAGAGCTGAGATTTCTGTTGTGAGCCGACTGACGGCTACAGTCCACACCCCAGAGAATTTCACCGTCTTGATTCACACCGCAGCCTGTTTCTGGGGAATTCATTTGAACTTCTATCCTTTCTGTCCTTTTCGTAACAAAAAAGAAGCGCAAGTGCTGACGTGCAGCGCAGACTGCAAAGATAACACCCGGCGGAGGCCAACGGAACGCCTTCCAGGTGGGAGGGAGCCTGTCGGGCTCTCGGCCCCTCCGAGCAGCACGTGAATTCAGATATGATGGGCTGGGGACGTGGCTTGGAGCCTGCCTAGCCTATGCAAGGCCCCGGTTCCACGCCCTGCGTCACTAAACAAGATCCGCACGTGTATACGGGTGCAGAGTGCCCGCCGTCACAGGTCCCATCTCAGAGACAGCGATCACTAGGAATTATTCGAGTGCGTTTCAGGGTGTAAAGTACGCCTGTCCCCTTATCACAGAGACATGCAGTTCAAACCTCCCCTGTCCTGCAGGCTGCTGCCCGTCTATGCAAGCCTGTGTTGACTTCAGCTTGCGTGATTATTTTCTGGGCCTCCTCTGCTGGTCCCTAGGGCAGCTTCCTTTCACGGCCCAGCCCGGGCAGACCCAGCGCCGAGTCAGATGTGTCCACTCCGTGTGATTTGGGGTGAAGGGCCTGCTCCCCTGTTCCTTCTGCCTCGGACACTCTGCTGCCTTGCTGTCTCACCCCTCCACTCCCAGAGCCCAGTCAATTGCCGTCTCCAAGGTGACCTTGCCGGATCCCCTCTGAGCCCAGGGTCATGCTGGCCCCTGCAAAGATGCTGATCAGTAACAGGCAGGAGTAGGGAATGTAAGCAACCAGGGGTCCCAACAGCTAAGGAACCTAGGGAATCAGGGGTCAGTCCAGGGACCTGAGGGAGCCACTGAGAAGACTTATTTGCATGAATGATGGAGTGTGGGAAAATGTCCCATGAGATAGTAAGTAACCAGAAGACATCCAGATAAAATATACTCCCACTTCTATAAAAATAGTCATACTCACATATGTTATCTATATTTTAAAAAAAAAGTAGAGCCAGGAGTGGTGGTGCATGCCTGTAATCCCAGCATGTGGAGGCGGAGGCAGGAGGATCACCTGAAGTCGAGGCTAGCCTGGGCTACATAGTGAGTTCAAGGCCAGCCTGAACCACATAGCAAGACCTTGTCTCAAAAAACCAAAAACCAAAAGCAGATAAAACAAAAACAAAATAAATCGAGACAAAAATGATCCCAGAACGTATTCAATGGGTGTGTCTCACAGTGAGTCTTGAAGCAGAGTTTTAAATTTCTTAATTCTCTTCCAAATTATGAAATTCTTTCTTAAAAACGCAATAACCGGGGCTGGGGATTTAGCTCAGCGGCACAGCGCCTGCTTGGCAAGTGCAAGGTTGTGAGTTCGATTCCTGGTACTGGAAAAAAAACAACCCCCCCCCCCAAAAAAGCACAATAACCAGCGAGAACAAGTAGATTTGCCAAATTTGCTAGTCCTAGGCTGGCGTCCCTTCTATAATTCTTTTCCAAATATCATCTGACTTCTGCTGAGTCCCTCTAGCAACGCGGACTCACTACACTCTGAGGTCTTTCTGGCCACATCTTCCTCCTGAGGAGCAGAACGCCAGCTGCTGACCCCACGGGCCACAGTCCTGCCTTCCGGAACAGTGGCGAACACCGCTGCTCTCCACACCGCTGGACCCCGAGGTTGGGGCGGCAACCAGGCGCTGGCTGCTTTCCCACACCACCTGCGCACCCAGGACGGCGTCGTCCGCCATCCCCGCATCCCTGTTTGCTTTTCGCAGGCACAATCCGGGCCGCGATGTCCTTAAAGTCTACGGCTGCACCGCATCACCTCTCTCAAGAGCTTGCCGATTGCTTGGCAGGCTACTGGGGACGCTGGCCCCTGCGTCCTCCCAGTGAAGTTACAGGACAGTCCTACGGCACCGGAGCTAACAGCGCGCCTGGCTTGCAAAGAAACGGAGGCACGGGGAAGCCGAGACACGTCCAGACCCACTGACCAGACCCACCGTGAGCTAGGACAGAACCAGAACCCAGCCCAGAGTGCGGTGTGGGCCGTGCAGACGCCTGCCAAGTTCATGGGAAAGTGAGCGGCTGCAGTTCTAACCCCCGAGCCCTGCGGTCCGCGGTTCTGCCTGAGGATTATTTAAGCCTGGGCCATCCTCTTCCAGGTTACTTACTCCCAGCTGCCTCCCCACCACCACCACCTGGACGTGCTCAGGAGTGCCCAGGGCAGGACGTCCCGCAAGCACCCGCTGCCTGAGGCCAGCCTGGCCTGTGGCACTGCGGCTGGAGCCCCTGGGGCAGGAGGGACTGGCAGCGGAGCGGGCACCAGGCGTCTCTGGCTGGCTGACCTCAGGATGCCCGTGACCCTGGGGCTGAGACGGCCCCTCCTCGCCCCACTTCAGCCCCAGGCAGGCCCACACCTTCCACCGGCCTCCACCTACCACCCGGCCTCGCCCAAGGCCCCCCAAGGGGCGTGACCCTGATGACCACAGTTTCTGCCAAGAAGAAGCGTTGGGAAGAACCGCAGGTTCCCGACGGGTCCCCGGCGCCCATCCCCGGCCACCCAGGACTGCACTGACTCACTCCCTTGTCCCCTCAAGGAAGGCAGAGGCACCGCCTCAGGCTGGGCCCCTGAGTGGCACCCAGCCGGTTGGTCAGGCCAGCCCAGAGGCACCGACTGCAGAACTCAGCAGGCCTCAGAACTCCGAGCCTGGAGGGCCCTTGCGAGGCCTGAGGGGGCGAGGGAGCCCCGGCCTGAGCGGCGGAGCCCCCCACCAAGCAAAGCTGTACCCATGGCCGCTGCCACCCTAGTCTGCACAAAGAGCCCCTCAGCCGCGCTCTCCCAGCGCGGGTCTCACTCGGCCTTGACGGGTGCCTCCCACAGATCCTCAGCCCGGCCCCAGGCGGGCAGCCTCGTGTGCTCCCGTGTGCTCCCGGCTGCAGGAGGCTCTCCCACTGCGGCTCTTCTCCGCCCTCACCCAGTCCCCGGCGGTTTACTTAGCACCTGCTCTGCGCTGGCACAGGGTGGGGAGGACCAGGGAGGGGCTGCTGAGGACCAGCCTCAAGCGCAGGCCCTCGCTGGCCCGCACACGTCCCGCTTGGCCAGGTTCCGTCCCCACCCGGAAAGGGTGCAGCCTGGCTTCCAGGGACCCGGGGGCAGGCAGGCTATGAGAGTGGTCTGCAGCTACGTCTCACCGGCCCTGTGACCTGGCCTTCTGGAGTCTGGGGACATCCCAGATTTACAGTCCCCTCTGACACGAGAGCTCAGGCTTCTGGGGATTGAACCTAGGCCAGGGCAAAACCTAGAGGGACAGCGACAGACAGGAAGTTTAGGTGAGAAGCCAGCAAAGCCCGTACAAGGGCAGGGAAGACATGCCAGGCTGTTGGGAGGCCATGAGGGTACAGGTCTTCATGCCCAAGGGCTCTGTGGCTGGCCGAAGCCTAGGAGAGCTGAGGGTAAAGACTGCTGGACCGGGAGACCAGATTCTACCCCAGGTGGCCGTATGGCCTAGGCACAAGAGAGGCAGGAGGGTCTGGGTCGCAGCTGGTGAAGTTTTCTGACCCGAGAATAAAGGAGGCGCAAGGTAAGCCAGGGGCACTGCACTTCCGCCCAGAGCTGCCCGCTGAGGTAGGAGCCGGCAACGCCCTGGTCCCGCCCCAGGCAGAAAGCCTGCCTCAGCCACGCACAGAGCAGAGCGAGAGCACGCTCAGTGTGGCGGTCACAGCATTATCAAACGTCGTCCCAGTTTGGGGCGTCTGGGGATCTTGAGGGAAGCTGATCTCAAAGTGTAGCAGAGCAGGAGCTCATTGAGCTCAGACGCATCCTTTAGGCTCCAAACTCTGACCTGGACTCGTCAGACCCGGGGGGCAGCTGGGCCCTCTGCAGGAAACCTGAGTACAGTCCCCTGGGCCCTAACCCAGCTTGGGAGGCACGGGAAGACTTGCTCCCGGTGGCTCCAGCCCGGGGCGGCCGAGACAAGCACAGCCCACGGAGGCTGCAGGAGGCCCAGCCTGGCGAGGAGGGGCTGGCACGGTGTGCGGTGCCCTGGCCTGCGCCCTGATTCTGAGTTCCTAACAGGTCTGAACCGTGCTGGGCTGTGACCCTAGGATACCACCCGCCCCTGCCCGGCTCTGGGAGGTGCAGTACCTGTCCCGGACCTCGCAGTCTGGGGGGGCGCGGGTTCAACCTGCAGTCTGGCCTGGGGTCCCTTCCCGGGGTTCCATCCGACCTGGGGTTGGGCCTGGGGTCCTGGGCTCGGGTCCCTGCCTGGAGTCCACGCCCTGCTCCAGCCAACTTTCCCGCCTACCTTCCGTTCCTTCCCGGGGTGCTTGCAGCAGCTCAGCCGGCTGGGTCCACAGCCCATCCTCCTCCTCCTCCTCCTCCTCCTCCAGCCCGGGCGCCGCCCAGCTCGGGCCCACTGCGCCCTCCGCGCCCGCCTGCCTGCCTGCCCAACACCCTGAAACTGAAGCCGCGCACTGGAGCCGGCCGGCCAGTGCCGTAAATACCCGAGCAGCCGGGCCTCCAGCCGGCCGGCAGGTGACCGGGACGCCGTCCAAGGACAGGCTGAGGCCAGGGCAGGAGAGGGCTGTCGCAGGGCGGGGGGCGCCTAAGGGCCCAGGGAAGAAACGATTTGGTTCGCACGGCAGCCGCCCCTTCTCAGGGCTGTTTCCGCCCCGTGGTTTCACCATGGCCCTACTCCTCCTCTCCTTGCCCCTGAGGGATGATTTTGCAAAGTGATTGTTGAACACAGCCGAGCTAGTAAGTACCAGAGCCCAGGGAGAACTTCCCAGAACCTGATGCCTGAGTCCCTTCCCTAATAAAGACTCAGGTTAACTGTAGAGCTCCGTGCTGCCCGGCCCGTAGCCTCTTCTGGCTCTGGAACACGCTGTGTCAGGACAGCCGCAGAGACGGTCAGATCCGCGGGAGCGAGGACTGCGGGCGCTGGTTCTGAGAAAGGAGTTTTTTGCTGGGAGTGGAACCCAGGGCCTTGCGCGTGCCGGCAAGCGCTGCAGCACAGAGCCACGTCCTTGCCCAAAAAGGAACTTTTATCAGTGTTCACTTCGTTACTAGCCAGAGTTTCTGAGAGTCACAATGTGGAAGGAAAAGATACAAGTTTTGGAAAATCCGTGTGCACCTCTGTGTGTCTGTTAGAAAATCAGCGTCAGGCCGCAGAGCTCCCGAGCAGATGTTTTGATAAAAGGGATTTGGAGTCGTGGATGGGGAAGAATAGGAAGTCTCATAGGACACAGAGTATAAAGCCAGCTGCGGGTGGGTCTAAAACAGCAGAGGGAGGAGGCAGGTGACACTGGCTTCTTAGAACTGCGTAGGCTGGTGGGTGTTTGCCTAGCTCAGGTCCTGCACCAGCAGTACAAGCCCTGACAGGGAGCACGGTTAGGAGCACAAATTCTCTAGGGCCAGGGATGTAGCTCAGCAGCATGAGGGCTTGCCTGCAAGCCTGAGGTCACACGTTTGATTCCTAGTACCAAAAAAAAAAAAAAGGAACGCAAATTCTCAGGCCCTGCCCCTACAGCCCCCAAACCCTTTGACCCAGGTGAAATTCAGGAGATCCTGCTGGAGGAAGCACCCTGAGCTCACGTGGGAAACGAGTCCAGTTTGGTTTATTGAACAGTGGTCTGGATTTTAAACAAGACAAACAAGCAAACCCCAAGCAGCCTAAGCATCCAAGGAAGAAGCTCAGTTAAGTAAACTATGAGAACCACAAACATGGAGATGCCGTGGGCAAGGCTGTGGGTCACCCCAGCAGCAGGGGGAGGGGCGTGAGACCCCAACAGCACGGGGAGGGGCGTGTGACTCCAAAGTACTGCTGAATGGGCTTTGTTTTAAGACAGTCACCCTGTGTAGGTGAGGCTGTCCTTGAACTGGTCTGGCTGAAGATGGTTTTTTTAAAATGCTGAAAAATGTAACAAATTCACTTTTAGTGAGGGAAAAAAGTATTAGAGCTGGGCGTGGTGGCGACAGCCTAAGCACCCAGAGACTGAGGCAAGGAGATTGAAGGTTTGAGGCCAGCCTGGTCACCTAGTGAGGCCCTGTCTCATAAAAGGGGGCTTGAGCTTGGAGCTCACTGGTGGAGCACCCCCGGGTTCTATTTCAGGATCAAGAAGACAGAAAAAAAGGGGCCGGGGATATAGCTCAAAGGCACAAGCGCCTTCCTGGCAAGCACAAGGTCCTGAGTTTGATTCTTGGTACCAAAAAGAGAAAAAAGAAGAAGACAAAGAAAAAGTCTTAGTAATGATTATGCCGGATTAGATTTTGGATTTGTAGAGCAGTTCTTTTATTTAGTATTATTGTAATAAGAAACCTACTATTAAAATAGAAAAAGATTTTTAAGTTTTTTTTTTAACCTTCTTTTTATTTCTTATGCAAAACAAAAATTTTATAATCAGAAAAGAACCTAGTTAAGCAGAGGACAAGACAAACCAAAAAGATTCTTACAAGAAAGAAACAAATAGCACAAAAATGAATGGCTGTGTAAATGGAAGTAGTCAGCCTTTGTACTGAGATATTTTTAGAACAATGGAATTTGCAGGTTGGGGAGTATTTGAACTTCTCCTCACTTCCTGTTTAACTCTCTTTCTTTGTCTTTTTGAGTCAAGGTCTCCCATGCAGTTCAGGCTGGCCTTGAGCTCACTTTGTTGCCCAGGCTGGCTTTCGAATTTGTAACAAGCCTCCTGCCTCAGCCTCCCCAGTGCTGGGATTACATGCGTGGGCCACCATCCTTGGCTCCTATTTCTTTTCTATTTTGCATTCTTGTTCTCTCTCTCTGTCCATATATATAACATAATGTATATATTAAACCTAATATATATATAATATACTATATAATGTATTATACATGATATATAATGTATACACACATACATGATGTATATATTATATACTATATTATATATGTATATATAATACAGTTTTTTACATAGGAGAAACATAATATTTGAGTTCGTGTATCTGACTTTTTTCACTTGTGCTGCCACATCCGGCTTTAAAGTATGTTTTAAAAACATACACGGAGCCAGGTGTGGCAGCACACGCCTGTAATCCCAGCACTTGGGAGGCTGAGGCAAGAGTATCGCTGTGAGTTGGAGGCCTGTCTGGGCTACCTGGATACCTTGCAAATGGACAGATAGGCACTTCTGCTTCGAGCCAGACCTCGACAAAAGATTAAACAGATGCACCCACACACCTCCCTGGGGATGGACCTCAGGGATTGATATTCTAAATAGGTAGCAGTCACCTTGAAGAGTCCCTGACCCAACCCCCTACAGGAAGGGCCCCAGTTCCGTATTCACGCCCTTGCTTCCCCATTTGATCCCGATTTAATCAATTTTACCTGAGCAATTATACTTGTAATCTTATTGGCTGACCATAGTTTTGTCCCACCTCATGCCCACCTTGTAACTTCCCATTTTCCCCACCTTGGACCCACCTCGCCTCATGGTTTTGCTGGAAAAGACAAGTTCCCCGGGCAACCCACTCGGGCCCCCTTCTGTCCCTCTCTCAGACAGAAGCTTTCTTTCCCTCAATAAATATGTTCTGCTCTTAACCTTCGTGGTTCCTAAAATTCATTGCTCGAGTTTAGAGAACACGAACTCGTCCCAGACACCGTTCAGCTTGGGAGTTTCTTTCCCTGTATCACTGCGAGCAGGTCTCGAAGACCTGGACGCTGACGGCCGGCTTAGCTGGGAGGACCAGCCACACAAAGCAGACAGCAAGCGGAGGCGGTCACGGGTGGTTCGGCGATCCTGAGCCGGTTGTTCCTCCTTCCCGTCACTTCCCCATCTGCACCCTGAAGGGTCAAACGCTCTGAAATCGATCTCAGATTTCAGTGTCAGCCACTGAAAGCAATAACTTGCTCAGTTGGCATGTTCTGTGCTGGACCCTTGGGTCTCAGGGACTCGCTCCCGGCCTCTCCCGGCCTCCTGGGAGGTCCGTTCAGATTTCCTAAAGTCTTTTATGCCCGCTTTGATAGTTCTGCCTGAGAAAAACGCAAGAGTTTTTGTTTGAGTTGAGTTTAAGAAAGTTTCCAGTGAGACCCTTGAAGGGTTAGTGTGCAAGCCAGGTGTTATGGTTGATACACTGTGTCATCTTGAAAAGTTTAGAAGTTTAATGAAAAGAGCCAGCAGAGGTCAGGGTCCTCACTTTGTTGTGGTTTTTTTTTTTTTTTTGTCTTTTTGAGACAGGGTCTTGCTATGCAGTTCAGGCTGGCCTTGAGCTCACTTTGTAGCCCAGGCTGGTCTCAAACTCAGCGATCCTCCTGCCTCAGCCTCTTTTTTTTTTTTTTTTTGCCTCAGCCTCTTGAGTGCTGGGATTACAGGCATGCGCCACCACGCCCAGCAGGATCCTCACTTTGTAAACATCCTCATCCTGAGCAAGAAGAGGGCACGGAGATGGTGTGAGGGCTACACCCGCCCTAGGGTGGGTAGGCTGCTTACATTGTAAGGGGGGAAAAGAGGCTTGTTTTCCTCTTTTGCTCTTGTTGCATTTGCTGTCTTCTGCCACCTTGAGGTTTTGCCCTTGTGCCGTGTGCCACCCTGCCATGGAGCCAGCTGGTTATGGACTGAAACCTTCGCCAACTATGAGCTAAATAAACCCTTCCTTCCTTAATTCTGGGCGTCAGGTATTTCACCTCAGCAACAGGAGAAAAGTAACCAAGACACTAGGTTAGGTTAGGTTTTGCCGCAGTAAGGAAGGATCTCAGTGATTTAACAGGCCAGAAGCTCCATTATCACTCACGCTGCATTTCGCGGGACAAGGAGAGACAGTCATATCATTCTGGGGCACATCCGTCCCACCAGGTGGCTGCAGGTTACCAGGGCTGTACAGAGAACAGTGCATGGGGCCCTAAGCGCACCCATGCAGAAGTGACAGGTGACACACAGGCCGCTGACCAAAGCAAGTCGCAGTCAAGCCAACTTCAAGGGATGGAGAAGAGCAAGGTCCACCGAAGGAGAGGAGAATCAGGTACATTGGTAAGGACAGTCATGCCTTCCATAGTAGCGATCAACGAGCAGGTCTAACTACTACGTGCCCACTTCTTGGGCAGTCAGGGTGACTCACTCCTCCTGGTTTGTCTGGATTTCCCCATTTCTAGCCCTGCAAGTCCCAAGTCCCGGGCACACCAGGACAGCCGGCCACCCTCAGGCGAGGCGTAGTGAAGGTACAAGATAAAAATCAGTCCTTGCTCTGGAGTTAGCTATGATCTATGTTTTTGACACTAGACCTACACACAGGGGGAAAAGGGAAATGATACAAAGCAAGTCACAGGGCTGACGCCGTGCCATAGGTACTAGCGCTTAAAATGAGGTGAGGGGCCGAGGTGGGTGCGAGGGTCAAGGAGGACTTCCTGGGAGACTAGAGCCACAGCACTGCACGCCAGAAGGGATTCTCGAATCTCAGGCTGGGATGGAACGCGGTGCTTGGCTTAGTTTGGAAGTAAGAGCTTGACTAATACAACCCTCTGTTTCAGATTGCCCTGTGGGTGATTATGCAGCTGCGGTGTAACGCTTGTGCTGATGGGAAGTCAGGACCTGTCTTTCCGTGGAGGGGGGCGAGTCAGGCAGGAGAGGGTGCAGGCTGGGAGGCCCGCAGTGAGGGACGGAGGCGTTCGCTTCTTTGGGGAAGAATGACACAAGGATCA